AGAGAGAGAGAGAGAGAGAGAGAGAGAGAGAGAGGGACAGAGGGACAGACAGACAGACAGACAGACAGACAATCTTTGTGACAGACAGACAGTCACACAGACAGTCTATGTGACAGACAGACAGACAAACAGACATACAGACAGACAGACAGACAGACAGACGGACACGCAGACAGAGAGATAGACAGACAGAATTCAAGACACGGCGCATTGGCTTGGGAGCTGATGTAACATAAGACTTAGATCAGTACCGTTACATTTTCCGCGCAGACGTGTCAGATTCTGGAACCATGTCGTGAACGCCGTGTCATCACAGGAACATGTGAGAGTGTCGGGCAGGAACAGAGTGTGTAGTTTGTTTAGTGTCAACAGAGCCGTGGGTAAACGGACTAGGTGTGTGTTGCTCAGGTCTAAATAGGTCAACTCATGGAGGTTGCTGAAGGCGTCGTCTGCGATTGTTTTGATTGGGTTTCCTGATAAATACATGTTCGTTAATTTCGAAATGTTGTTTGAAAATTGTAGTGAGGGAATTACTTCTATGTCGTTGTCTGAGATGTAGAGATACATCAGCCTGGTCGGGAACTCAAAGTCTGCCATAGATTTGATTTTATTATTGTTCAGATTTAGATAGTACAGACTGGACAATTTTGATATAGATTCTGGAATAGTCGTCATTACGTTTCTTTGTAGATAAAGTCTGGAAAGTGACGTAGGGAGCACACCCGACGATGGGGTTGAAATATTGTTGGAGTGCAAATATAAATCTCTCAATTCAGACATAAATAACAGGTCGGGTATTTGAGTAAGGCAGTTGAGGGAGAGAGCTAGGGATCTCAAAGAGTTTTCATTGGGTATTAGGGCGTAAGGTATGTGCTTGTGGTCACAGATTCTGTTATGAGATATAGAGAGACGCTCAATACCTGTCAAATAAAACAGAGGGCCGATATTGTCGATGTGATTGTAGTCCAGGACTAACTCTGACAAATTACGAGGGACTTTTAAATCTTTCAGGTGGTTGAGATCGCTTATTGAATTTAACGAAAAATCGAGGCTGGTCAAATCCGGGAAAAGCGCCACCACCTCCTCTGGGATTTTCGTTAGGTTGTACTCTTGGTAGGCCAGATGTTTAATGTGACTGGCTGATGGGTCCAGTGGCTTACTGCTCAGCTGTCCAAAAGTAACCCCAGACATCTCAAGTGCCTCCAGCTTTGGCAGTAACTTAAGCCAGTCTGGTGGAAAGATTGGCATTCTCTGTTTTGACAGATGTAGAGTTTTCAACGATGCTCCAATGCTCGCCAAAATGGTTGAGTTCCATGTGAGGACAGGACAATTGTACCAATACAAGTACTGGAGAGAACTGAGGTCCATCAAGGCCCACGGTAGGGAGATCAGATTACTGGACCAGAATGTGAGTCTCTGAAGACTTTTGGCAGAATAAATAAAGGCGTGATCTGCGATTGTGGTCAGGGAATCTTCTCCAAAATATATAGCTTGTAAATTGTGAGGCAGATCCCAGTCTTTTATGACTGTTATGTGGTTGCCCTAAAAAGACAGAATTATGTAATAATAATAAT